AGGGACATGATTCATGACACCTATTCACAAATGGCTTACAATGAAGAAATATATAAATGCATATAGATGTACATGCATGTGTGTGTGTGTGTGAAAAGGGGCAAAGAGGAGAACAAAGCAAATGCAGCAAAATGCTAAAAACTGATTAACCTGGATAAAGGGTTAACAGGAGTAATATTGTATAATATTTTGACAAATTTTCTATAAATTGGAAATTATTTCAAAATATAAACAGAAAAAAAAACTTTCTCCATGATTGTAAAGAGTGAATTTATGTCTAAGGGACTTACTACTTGAAATCAACCTATTAAGAATACGTTTTGCCCTCTTTGACTATTGTGTAGATATTCCACAATCACATATATGTAAAACTAAAGCCACATACAGAGGGCAAGACAATACTGTTTTCAAAGCCAAAAACCTAGAAATGACCCACATGTCCATTCACAAGAAATGGATAAATTGCACTATATTAAATGAAATACTGTACAATAAAAATGAATAAAATAAAGTGCCCATAAAAACAGGAACCAATCTCACAAATGAGTGAAAGAAGTCTCGTTAAAAATACATATATTGTATTTTCCACTTGTATAAAGTTCAAAATCGGGCAAAACTAATTGATAATAGTTGAAGCCAACATAGGGGTAATAAGTGGGTGGGAAAAAACAGGAGGCACAGGGACGCTAGTGGCATTCCATTTATTGACTGGGGCAGAGGAGAAGCAGTGGTATTGTTCACTCTGTGAGAATCCATTGAAGTGTGTACTTAGGACTGCTGTGCTTGCCCACAGGAAACATTTTTTTTTTAAGTTCTTATGTTTACGCTGTCAAACTAAAAAGTATAAGTAAGTGTAGGCAAAAAGTACTCTCTTATTTTTGGAATTATACACACAGCCCAGGAAACATTTAAAACTACAGAAAACAGAATGATGGTTAATGATCTTACAAATTTAAAAGTTTTCCACACAGCACTTCAATAGCAGAGCTATAAAATGGTGTAATTTTTCAACCCCAAATTCATGGGTATTTGACCTCTGACTTCAACATCCTTCTATTAGAACAGGGCACAGAGAGCTCTGGGAAGCTACTGGCAAGAATTATACATACAACTAAGCAGGGACTTGTGAGAGCAAATGAATAGCCTTCTATTGAACACTATAAATAATCTTTTTAAAAAGAAGTCACCACTTTGGTACTCTGTATCCTATTCTTGGCTACCCTGTGACCTTCTGAATGGGTATTTGTAATTGTCACTTTCAGGAATAGTTCTGTTTCAGGAAGGAAACTGGTGTTCTTCATATGCTCATGTTAACATAATAATAAGAAACCACAAATAGGTTTGTCTGAAAGTATTGTATTCTTATTAGTAGGCAGTAATACAGAGACACAGCCAACTGTTATTTATGTACATAAAATATATATTCTGCATTCTTCATTTTCTAAATTCATTTCAGATTCCATATATATTACACTCTTTTTGTCGCTAACTTCCTTTCTTCTCCCATTAGGTTGTCCCTGATAGCCCAGGGACAGATTTTTTTCACCTACTTTCTTCACTAGCAATCAAATTTAATGTTTGAACATGACTTTGTGCTAATTCAGAGGGAAGTTCAGACTCAAAATTATATGAATTCAGTGTTATTTATCTTTCTTGGAATGGAAAAATAGGCATATGTGAACAAAAGATGCGCAGAGATAATTCGAAGATTAGTCTAATTTAACTAGTTAGCGAGGGTCGCACAGTTAACATGCCAATTTTCAGAATTTCATACATCTAAAAGAAAACAGGCCAGAAGAATGTCAAGAAGGTCTTAGTGGCACGGAGGCTGGCTGAAATCATGTATTTTTATCCTTGACTACAAGAATTGCCAATTATCAAACAACCAGAAACAATTCAAAAGTCCATCAGCAAGATGGACAAACTGAAGTGTATTTACTGGAACCCTGTGCATCAATAATGAATGAGTCAAGCTAGACACAAAAACTAATCTCACAAACTTCTAAGCTAATGACAACCCCCTTCTTTAGAAGGGTTCTCAACTTAGCCCACTACTTTCCAGAGGCTGCCAATAGTCCACTAAGAGCTTGAAAGATTAATATAGTATCACGTATGATTTCAAATTTAAAAAGAGGCAATTCTCCAAAACTCACTACATCTAATAAACTGTATTTTCCCTACTGGGGAAAGAAACAAAACAATATAGAATCTCTACAAGATTCAATAGACCCTCAATACTATGAGAGTTGCTGTCAATGTGATCCTGTACCCACTAGGTGACTTACACTGAAATTTCAAAACTCTGTCATTGAAAAATCAAAGAAATGCCTAGGAAATATTCTCTATACATAAAGATATATTGTATCTATTACATTAGTACAGATGTTTCACTCAGTCACTTTGGGGTACCATAAAATATATCTAAAAAAGCTAAGAAGAAAAAAAAAAAGAGTAAGCATTATCAGGGAAAGTTTGCTTAGTATGTGTTAGAACCAATTCGTGTTCCAAACAACACAAAGCTTATTTATACTCTGGGGTCCAAGGCAGAAAACACACACATAATCTAAAATAATATAATTTTAAAAGGCAATCACGTCATCAAAAAACTTTGAAACTACTGGTTTAAAAAGTTTTCTTAGTAAAATTAATTAAATTGAAACCAATATATTAGAAGAAGCACAACCAACACAAGGATTTATAAATGTTACTTCAGAATTCATCAGCCACTTTTTAGTAACATATCAGCATATCACTGCAGAAAATTTTGCTTTGCAAAACAACACTGATCTCACCTGATTTCATTTTCATACTGTGGGGAGAGTCTACCTGAATTCTGGTAAAAGCTTTTCAGGAAAGAGGGGGCAGTGAAGGAAGGGGCAGAGAAGGAAGTGTGAAGACTTGGAAGGCTGGAGGAAGAATTACTCTCCTTGTGCATGCGTCGAACTGAAGGAAGAATGCTGAGTACAGAAAACACAGCAAATTTGTCTCAATTTATATTTTTGCAAATTCTTCATTACTATGAGAAAGCATATTAACAGGTTCTTGCTATTAATCTTTCCTTTCAAGGCTCAGGCCTGGACACACCATGCCATCTCTATTTACATGACTATGACCTAAGGTCACTCTTTCACAAATTGCATTTCTCATTTATGCAATATTTCTACAGCATCTGAGTTTGTCTCTAAAAACCTCTTAACAACTTTAGGATGAAAAGTGTTTGTTTTTACATGCAAAAGACACTTCAAGGGAAAAAAGTAGCAAGGCACAAATAATTACAGGAAACAAGTTTCCAGAAGGAAAAACTGATTATCAGTAGTTCAAAGACTGACTTTTGTAAAGATATAAACCTTTCCAAATATTTAAGAACAACACGTTTGGTTGTTGGAAGCCATCCTAATACCTTTGCTTAACAAATACGAATGTTGATGTGCTTTCCCCAAGACTGGAATTATTCCACTATAGTTTAATCCAAAGCCCAAGATCTAGAAAATTCTTTGTGTGGCACATTTTCACAATAAGACAAACAGCACCTTTTTATATGGATAGAAACTGTTTGAATTTATGCATTACAAAATGTGAAAAATGTAGGAAAGAAGTGAGCTATCACTTATAGTCTAAAATAATTCATGACTTTCAGTCTTAAAAGTCATTTTTCTAGGAAAAAAAATAAAAAGTTTAATTGCCATGTGATCATTAGGAAAACCTTGGTACACAAATGAATACTTAATCTCCTTCCCATGCAAAAATAAAATCTGAGGATAATTACTTCTCTTAATTAACTTTATCTTATCATAATATCTTACGTTATAATTTCAAATAATGCTGAAAACAGCAATGAGAAGAAAACTGTATCCTTAAAAGGGATGCTGGTAAATTTTGATAACACTTGAGATCAAAATGAGCCACCTTATTTTACTTCAATTTCTGCTTTTCCTTTTCTTTCCAAACCCCATCCTTATCCAACCCTGCTTTCTGTTATCAAACTCAAAGATAAAGAAGAGAAACAAAATTAGTTCCAAGACACAGATTCCGATCTGTGCGATAAGGCAGGGAGTAAATCATTCTTTAATACTGAGCTTACTCCCTTTAATATTTCTCACTGAAAGTCAAACAACTTTGTCAAATTATTTTTTAAATACCAAGTAAGATCGTTTCTAATGAACAACACCTGTCAATTATGGTATATAGTCATCTTTATAGATATTATCTGATTTTATGTAAATTGGTAACAATTTTCATATTTAGCTTTAATTTATTGTGTAATAAAATACAGCCAAAGATCTCATGTATCAATGTAATTTAGGTGATTTTTTCTCAACTCTGCTATTTTGTTTTGTTTTGTTTTGTTTTTTTTTTTTTTTTGAGACAGAGCCTCAAGCTGTCCCCCTGGGTAGAGTGCCGTGGCTTTACAGCTCACAGCAACCTCCAACTCCTGGGCTCAAGCGAGTCTCCTGCCTCCGCCTCCCAAGTAGCTGGGACCACAGGCGCTCGCCACAACGCCCAGCTATTTTTTGGTTGCAGCCGTCATTGTTGTTTTGGCGGGTCCGGGCTGGGGATTCGAACCCGCCACCTTAGGTGTACATGGCTGGCGCCTTAGCCGGTTGAGCTATAGGCGCCGAGCCAACTCTGCTATTTTGTTCTAGGCTAACGGGAAGTTCTACTGTCGTTATCCTCAAAGTTGCTGACTTTGTTTCTCTGGGGCGGCCATCAAGACACTGAGTAGTGTGCTGTCAGTGGATTTTCAGACAAAATAACTGCACGGTATCTTGTTTTCTCCATTTTGCTGAAAGAAAAAAAACTTTCCGCCCACTCCTCTCTGGGTGTGCCTTGACCTTGCCTGTTTCCCTTAGTAAATAAGGTAAATTAATATAATTTTATGGCATTTTCTAAAAACCAAAAGTTGGCTACAGGATGAAATCACACCCATCCTGACTCCAGAGTGATCAAACACAGTAACAGGAGACTCTGATGTCACCATCTGGATAAAGACTGGGACTCACCTGCACTGCTCGATGGAGCCCTGCCTCAGCAAGGGGGAGCGCAGGCCGTGAGCCCTCCCGTCCTGGAAATGCAGCTTTCTCTTTGAACTTGAAGGTGGGTGGCTGAACGTGTGTGCCCGTCTTCGGAACTGCGGTGAGTCGGAATCCTCTTCAGGGAACGTTTGCCAAGCCGAAGACAGTGGGGAGGCCGGTGGTGTCCCCGGTGGCGAGTCCCCTGGCGAGTAGTCCTGAAATGTAAGCAGAAAGGAGGTCTTCCTTTATTCTGTGGGTCACGGCAGGACTGCCACAGCACAGAGCTCAGAGGTGACAGTGGGCCTCATCTTCCTCCTGAGTCATGACAAAACTGTTCTTTTCTCCCCTTTTACTCAATCCATGCTGCAGGCTAATCAGTCTCACCACAACCCATTTCTTCTGATAAGCAGCTGTAAGACAACATCCGTGAAGATAGGCCAGAAAGGGAAAGGGATGATAAGAGAAGGTATTCTTTCCCCAGACACTTGGTGGTGAGAAGCTACAGCTTCTCTACTTTTTTCATTGTCAGAAAGATGAAAAGAGATCATGACCCAAAGAGGGCGGAGTCTGTGTTTACATGTCACCTCATTTCCATGACATATCAGTCGCACGCTTCCTGTGCTGTCAAAACAGTATCACAATGCCTAAGCATCCGAATCTCATGGCTAAGCCTTTGGGAAAATAAAATAAAGCCCGCTAAGTATCTTCCTTTGCTGGGGATGTTTCTGTCCAATTATATGTTCCCTGAGGTGAATTTCTTTTATAACATGTGAAAAACAGGAAATGAATGAAAAGTGAGCTATGCGGGAATGCATCTCATATTGCATGGGTGGACATCATAAATCTTTCAATTTGGACAGGTATGCTGTTTGTACTTCCTAGAACAGGAACTGCAGGAGCAATGTTTAGCCTGATGAACATGGGTTAGAGACAACAGACTCACAGCTGGACTAAGCCCTCCATTCTAGCAATAAAAAGTTGAATAAAAATATTTTAATGTTTTTCCACTATGAAAAAACTTCGTTGCATATGCCTCAGGTTACATGTTGCACAGGACAGGAAACAGGAAACCAAGCCTACTGAGAGCTGTCTATGAGATAAAGAACATCCTAATGTTGCAGTTAACAAGATAAAAAATGAGGGGAACAGGCACATGGGAAGAAAACAAAAAAAATAAAGATCACGGTACAGTATGGTAATTAGTTATTACATGGCTCGTTTTTATACGACTAGATCAACAGTTGCTCTGATACTGTCCTCCAAAGCATACTAGCTCCAAACAGTAAACAGCTTGGTAGGCTGGGTGTGGTGGCTCATGCCTGTAATCTAGCACTTTGGGAGGCCAAGGTGGGAGGATCATTGGAGCCCAAGAGTTCAAGACTAGCTTGCTCAACACAGCAAGACTCATCTCTACCAAAAAATACAAAAAGATGGTCATGGTGGTGTACATCTGCGGTCCCAGCTGCTCAGGAGGCGGAGGCAAGAGGATCGCTCAAGCCCCAGAGTTTGAGGTTGCAACTATGATGATGCCACTTCTCTCTAACCCAGGTAATACAGTGAGATCCTGTCTCAAAAAAAAATTTAAATAAATAAATAAATAGCCTGGCACAGCACAGTTAGCTTGTGAGGGATGAGTTCTGTCCCAACATGAGAAAGCTTAGCTGAATAAAGAGCTGTATGTTACTATCCAGAATCTTCTTATCTAATATGATAAAGCCTTCACGACTTCTTTTTTAATTTATTTTTTATTTTTTTGAGATAGAGTCTCACTTTGTCACCCTGGGTAGAGGGCCATGGCATCATAGCTCACAAAACCTGAAACTCTTGGGCTCAAGTAATCCTTTTGCTTCAGCCTCCTGAATAGCTGGGATTATAGGCATCTACCATGATACCTGGCTAGTTTTATTTATTTATTTATTTATTTTAGTAGAGATGGCGTCTTACTCTTGCTCAGGCTGGTCTCAAACTCCTGAGCTCAAGGAATTCACCTGTCTCATCCTCCCAGACACAGCTTCTTTTTTAAAAAGTCATAAAGACCCCTGAGTGAAGGGCTCAATTACAACTTACATGTTACCTTAGAACTGAAAACAACATAACCTACACATGTGTACCCTCATATTAATTTGAAATAAAGAAAACCATAAAGAATCTCTAATAAAATAATTAAATATGCACATTAGTAGATCAGTGTTGCTTAGTTTGCTAAGTGGCAATGAGCAGTAAACAAGAGAGAGCTCTCATGAGATACCTTCTCCGAAGCCAGACTGTTAGATCGCTCAAAGCTGTCCGCACTTCCAAGCCGACCTCTCATTCTGTTAGCTCCCTGAGTGAGAAGAATAAAATTAAATCCTTCATGCAATTGAACTTTTTGCTTCAAAACTATAAAAATCAGTTTCAGGTTGCCTCTTTATGTTAGCACTGAATTGATCCTTTTGTGATTCACTCAAATGCGTTGGCTACACATGTATTAACAGCCATTCTAACACAATACATGGATTATTACCAATCTATTTTCATTATTTCTAAATCATCCATTAGATAACTAGATACTCATACCAAGCTTTTTAAGTGATTTTGGTTAACAGTGGCCATATTATTCATCCGAAAGGTCAGTGAAAGCCCCATTTGCTCTGTGGTTCACACACAGAACTACAGATGTGGAAGATATAGCAAAACAAATGAAAAAGTTATAATAAAAATGGTTTAATACATAGAACTTCATATAATCTAGACTACAAACATAATTCACATTATAAGATAATAAAAACAGGTTAAAAACAAAATAGCAAATGGCATTCAAAAATGTATGGATTTTGCTTCATTCATTCTTCCATAACACAAAACTATTTCAATAAAGTCATTTCCCTGTAGAAGACTAGATATCAGGCTGCTTCAACATTGGCAAATTGGTTATTGATTTTCTTTCCACCTAATCCTTTGCCGTGTGGACTTCACAGATAATCTCACTACGAGGGACCTAAGAGATCATCTCGTCTGTCGCTCTAATTTCATGTGGGAGGAAACAACCCAACTACTTAAAGGAGGAGGACAGCAAGGTAGGTTGGGAATCGCATTACCAAGGTAACACAAAACACAGAAGGAGGAACTTTACACAACTCTAAAACACACAGAAAAGTTCTAAAACAAATGACTACAAATACAAGTCAGATCAACGTGCCAGTGCCAAATAAAAAAAATGCATAATATCTGCACAGTACTTTATAGCTTTAAAGTTTGTCTCCATATATTCTTGGGTTTAATTTGGGGGGGAGGACGAGATTAAATTCCATTTTAATTTTTAAACAAAGTAATAACTGTACAAAGTTTCAAAAGTCAGACTGCACCATCACCTTTATAATGAAAAATGGCCATCATCAACCACCTCTCCCACTGAATCCCATTTCCCAAAAGCAAATCTTAAAACTATTTATATTGATCTTCCTGGTTTTCAGTCTCAATTTTTCCTCAATTTTTCCATTTCCCACCATCCATCCCTCAGCCCCCTCCCCCAACACACACATTTTTCTCCTCCCTTTTCCTTCGATATAGTAGCATCTCGAGTTTCAGTTAAATCAGTATATTGTGCTTAGATTATTATAACTTTGCAAATGTTGTTCACAGCTGGGCTACATATTTTACTGTGATTACATCTGCTCCTGTCTCATACTTTGTTTTTCATGGAGCTAAGGACTTGCTTCAGCAACAGTAAATTTATTACAAAATTCTCTAACAGATTACAGTGTGGTCAAACATAGCACAATCTGTCCATTACATTTTTTTCTTTTTCTTTGAGCTGCCCATTACGGAGAACTCTGCATCCCTCCTCCAATTTGAGCTCACTGCAATTTAGACTTGCTCTATCAGTCTTCCTGTACTTTCCCTAATTATCAATCTGGGAAATTTTTTTTGAACCTCTCCTCTGTTGGAATTTCTGTTCCCTTGATCCTGTGTCTTCCCCTTTTTTTTATTATAGTTTACTTCCTCATTTTGGTAGAGGACATTCTCCAGGGGCCTTTTGAGAAAGGGAGAGTGGAAATTAATTTTTATTTTTATTTATTTATTTTGTGAGACAAAAACCTTTTTTGTGGTCTCAAACCTGTGAGCTCATGCAATCCACCCACCTAGGCCTCCTAAAGTGCTAGGATTACAGGCATGAGCCACCATGTCTGGTCTAATGTTTATCTAATTTCTAAACATAAGGTGGTACAATTGTTTTTGTTATATGGATACATTGTATAAGGATTACATCAGGGTTGGTTTTTTTTTTTTTTTTTCCTGTTATTTAGGTTTCATTGAGGGCAAAAAGAATTAGGTTACACTGATTTCAATTGCTAGGTAAAATCTGTCTTATAA